CACACACACACACACACACACACACACACACACACACACACACACACACACACACACACACACACGCTTTTCCTTCCTTCAGTGGGGTATATAAGGAGAAGCAGAAGACTCCTGCATGGGGCAGCAGCAGACCGACTCCAACAAACAACAGCTTTCCTCTACAACTTCAGCTGAGGTGTGTCTGTGTCCGCTCCACATTTTGAGCTCTTTCCATATACGAAGATTGACTGGTAAGTAACAGTTTTGGTGAAACTATTTTACTACACTAAAATTCCTTTGCAATTTGGCAAATGTTTGTTTATAACTTCCAGATGTGAAGAAATGTATTTCCATCTGAGAGTCATTTAAGAACTGTTGTTGTGCAATCACAACAACTCTGAGTGTGTCTAACGAAGCTTCTAGCACATCACTATATGCCCTATCATCACTCTTACTGATACACTTTGTTGCATTTTAATTTAGTTATGTAGTTGGATCACATTTTCACATTTTCCACCAAATTAACTAAATGTAATAACCAAGTGGTTATAACCTGAACATTATCAGTGGGCAGTAACTGTGAGAAAATGACCAGAGTTATTAATATATGTGCAAATGAAAAAACTATAACCAGAGGTTAATCACTAACTATGCACATGCTGCGTCTACAAACCATTTAATGCATCCCAGACTTAGTCTGCTTAAATAAAGGCTTTAACGAGAGTCTTTGGCTCTTTTCAGGGTTTTATTGTTTTACCTGCAGGGTTTTTTTTCTGTGTCAGCAGTTGCCCCAAAAACACTGAAAAAAACAAACACATTAAGCACTCCAGTGTTATTCGAAAACAGAGAAGTAGTGTTGTAAAGTAACAAAACAGGTTTAATTATGATTACAGCTATTCAGTTTATGACAGTTTTGCAGATTCACTTCAGCATTCACAGTGTCATACTTTATCCAATCCACTAACTTTTTGAGTTAGGTTAATTGTGTCCTTTTTGCTTTAATATATTCATTTGGTGGGTACTCTCCCAAGTTAATATTTTACTAAATATGACCGTATAATAGCTCAGCTGCAAAAGGAGAAAGGTAATGACCACTGTGGTGACTAATCAAACTGCTGGATTCAAACTTGGCCCTAGGTGTGAATAAACCAAAAGGATGCAAACAGACACAGTTGGTGTACTCAGTGACTCATTAAATCCCCAAAACAAGAAACAGGACAAAAATGACATCAACCCTTCAGCCCAGATGGGGGTTACCAAAACCCTGCTTGCAACAGGCAGAGTGGGCTGCCACTGCTGTGCAGGAAGGCGTGCAGCTAGTGCCATAAAGATTACATAAGTATAGGAAAGGCTGATTTAAGCATTATATACACAAGTGCTGCTTTCATAAGATGCTTGCAGGGTGCACACTACGTGGAGCCTGTGGTAAAAACACCTGGCTCAGAGTAAAACCCACTGTTGTATAATGTGGGGGTGTGTGCTGGATGACTCATCATACAGCACAGTGAGCACTCTGTTTTCACCTGAACCACCAGTGGCACAGATTGCCTCATTGGGATGCCTTGGAAAGACAGAGTGATGCAAAGTATCATTAAGCCCAATATAGCCTACACAATTTGAAATATCCCATGCATTATGGCACAAAAAGTAATGTGGGAGGACCTCTTGGAGTGGGCATGCTGGTTGAACCTTTCATCCCCAGTAAGAGGAAATACATGTCAAACAGCTCTGCTAAGTTATACCTCTGTTTGTTTTTTTGCCTTTACTCAAGTCTCAAGTCTAAAAGCAAGGCTCTTAGCAACAGTAGTTGCATGATTAAGCCAAAAACAACCCGAAGCCTCGAGGGCGTGAGGGGTGTGACTTTGACATTAAATGGATTCAAAAGGGCAAACATGCAAGTTATCTCTTTATGCATCATAAAGCATAAAGCACAACCTGATATTCCAATTCATCCTCATCACAGTTCTTACTCTGATGACTTAACCTCTCCAAGCAAAGAGTAATTTACTGGGAACTTCCAGGTGAGCCGGTGGATATCCAATCAAATAATTCCTATCCTGGCCACCATCTATTGTTTATGAATGCAGGTCATTTTAAAAAGCTAACAAAAGGCACATTATCATCAGACAACAACCACTGCATTTGAGATTGGAGTTCAGCAAATGCAATCCTCATTTTACTCACTGTTTACCAGCATGCAAAAAAGCCTGCTCTGATGTGATTGGCTAATAAAACACAGATCACAAGTGGCTGCTGAGAGAAACCACACATTTCCAGTAATGAAAAGCTTCTCCTTTGTCCTTAGATTATGTATGTGAATGCAAAGAGTAGCAAGCTTACCACCATAATCAGAGAGCTTACATTGTCAAAAACAATGGGCGTCCCAGGGGGGCTCAACCCACCAGCTCTTTGGTTGAAACAGAAACAGGCTGAACTACGGGGCTGCAGAGTGTGCTGTGTCTTCCTGTCTAATGTGCCTCTATTTACTCTTAAGTTATAGAAGCTGTATCTTTACATCTTTTCTCTCATTATTGATTAAACAGCCAGGCTCTGTTAATCCACAGCTTTATTTCCTGAGTTTTTGTATGAAGGTTTTGATACCTGAACTAAGAGTGACTGCACTGCTAAAGCAGGAAACTTTCATGAGTGGGCTCAAACCACAAAGGTAGCAGCCGAATGTGCTGACCTATTACCAAAGAAACAACCGCAGTTTGAAAAAACTGAGGTCACAGTGTGGCTCACTATTAGCACCATGAAGACACCTCTATACGTGGATTAACCATGAATTAAAAGCAAAAAGTTATCGATTTTCACCAGTGGCATCGTGCTTTATGTCACAACCTTTATGTAATCTGACCCGATGTTAGCAAAAAACAACTTTGAACAAATACAGACTGTTCCCTTTTCTATAAACTCAAACAGACTCAACCTTTTGACCACCAGTGACAGATATGACTGGCTCAGTAAGTTAGAATATGTAAGATATGGATATAAAATGCCCCAAACCACCTAAAGATTCAGATTTAAAAGTAAAAAAATATATAAATATCACAGTAATAAAAGCATGCAGTTACATTTCAAACATTTGGGGAAAAAACTACTGCCACTGTATAACATACAATCACTGGTACTACTAGTAGTAATAACACATACCCCCATTTTTAAATCTCCTCGTAATGATTTCAGGAGCTTTGCTTTTGTTTTCTGCCACAGCTCAGCTTCATGTACCTTTATCACCTACAATGTGTTGTCTGTCTGTCAAAACACTTTGCAAACTGACATGTGAATAAAGTCTATTAATATTATTGCCAAACTAAGTAATCTTACTTCAGTAAACACACTGAAGTAAGATTCTTTGTGGTTTCCATTCATGACTGGAATAAGTCCTTTTCTTTTAGACATGATAAATGCTCTGTGCTGAAGCTTATGTCATTTTTTCCACGTTCTGTAACCACAAAAACAAACATTATTTGTGGAGTGAAAATAAATCACAAAACACTAAAATTGTCTTTCATGACCAGGAGCTTGCAGGAATGGGAGTGACTATAAACCAAGTCTCTATCCAAGCCACAAACACACATGCGAGCCATGTGTGACATAAAAGATATAACCCGAAAAGTATTTATCGAGGCATGTGGAAGGTTTGGTTACACCCCAACTTCATCTTAGCGTGTGATCTTTTTGGACTTTAATCTATCTATATATGTATGAAAATCTTTCCCCAATTTTCCAGAGGTGGAAGGCAGATCAATTTGAAAACAGGCCTTTAGGAGCTTGACAGATGAATTGGAAAGAAAATAATTTTACCAACAGTAAATAAAACAAGATGGTTGTTGTTGTTGATGGTAATGGTGTCGGTCTTTAATTCTGTTATGGAGGTGAGCACATTCTTCTTCACTTTCTTTATGTTCTTACAGATTCTGCTTCAGTCTGTGGCATGTGCCCAGATTTGGACTTGTTTAAAGTTGCATGACACTGACTCTACTATTTCACCCAGCATTGCTAATAATTTAGTATTCACACATCCTCTCTTCCCTCCTAGTTCCTGTCTGAAATCAACCACCCTGAGCAATCATTATCATGTCTGATGAAGCTACCATCGCGGCTCCTTCTCCTGCTCCTCCCGCTCCCACTGGACCTCCTCCCAAAGTGACAAACCGTGGCCGCGCCGCAGCTCCCGCTGCCAGCGCCAACTCTGAGACAAGCGACATCCCCGAGTATGAGTACTTTATTCAACCAGGCCCCAGGGGATACCCTCCTCTGACAGGTGAAGGAGGAATTTCATGTTTATGTATGTGATACGTTTCTTGAAAATATGTATGCATTGAAGTGAGAAAAAAGTTCAGTAAACCCAAAGGGGAAGACACTTGTCAGATCATGTAAAGAACTGGACGAGTCTGTTCTTCTCGACAGTAAGCTGTTATTTATAGAAAATTTAAAAAAAAAAAGTTATTTGATGACACAGTGGGTCTTCTGTGGAGAAGATAAAGCCCCTTTCCTGTCAGTTTCCAGTACGTTTTACGCATGACTGACACATGAATGACGTCCAAAGGGGATAAATTCTGCTCACTTCCTGCTGCATGTCACTGCACTGCAGTCTGAATTACCATCAAAGAGCTGCACACACAGAGATATCCAGATGTAACAGGAATTTATGAAAGCAATGACTGGAATTACATCAGTAAACAACCGCAAATGAACAGTCGATTGAATTTCCCTATTGGCGCAACACTTATGTTTTTAATAAGGAGAGAACAGTTCAGACTGTGTTCCCAAAAGATAGCTTTTCATCACATAAACTGTTGACTACGACCATCCAAAGGCTTTCTGTGGGAGGCAAAGCACAAAATAAGAGTGACCTTTTCAATGCCGAGAGCAGGACTGGGGAACCACTGAAGTGTAATATTAAGCCAGAGAAATAACCAAGTTAAAGTTTTCAGATAAGGTCATTTGAGGACTTTCAGCTCAGCCGTCCCCACTGCAAGTGAATAAGCTTGATAAAGTTTTGAACTTTTGAAGAACACACTGGGTTCTGAATATCATGTAGGTCAGAAATAATAATAAAAAAAAATACGTTTTTCTAGAAAAATACAGTTTTTTTCTGGAAGCATGATCAGCAGCATCTGATATCCACTTTCTCTACAGATGCTTCTCTTCATTTTCTGTCACTCATCTGATTTCCTCCAAAGTGGGGCGATCACTGTCCTCTTGTGGTAGGAGACAAAAAAAAAGAAACATTGAGAATTTATGCATCCTGTGTCTTCTCTCTTTGTTTCTCCCTGTCTGTTCAGAATATCTGGACATCAGTGAGGTGGACATGATGAAAAGGCCCGATGAGAGCAACAAGATAGCTCATCACACCGCGCTGTACCACTCTGACTATCTAATCGTGCGCAGAGGACAAGAGTTCCAGGTCAAGATCACCTTCAGTCGTCCCTACAAACCTGCTGAAGATAAGTTCGCTTTGGAGTTTGTCATCGGTGAGTTAAATCCACTAAGTACTACTCTTATCTGTGGTCCCCATGGAGCAGGTGGTAACGTAGTTTTAAAGTAAACAACTAAGGGCTTAAAGGTACTTTTTGTAATTACCCTTTACAGTATTTAACTAAAAACATCACTACCAGGGGACAGAATTTTACCAGATAGATGTGTTGCAATGCAAGAAACTTGATTCAGATGCAGATCAGATTCACTTTTTAGGATTTCCTTACCTGGATTATTTGGCATGCATCAAGCCGGGGTGTCGACATTTTCACATCTGTGCTTCTCTTCAAGTTTTAATATTTCTTTTCAACCAGCCTGATCTGTTTCTCTCCTAGTGAGGCTTTAAATTTCTTCCAGGCCACTGTGACAAATAAAAATTCAAGGTGTTCTTAAATGAAGCGTTCACTGATTCGCTGCACCATCTAGCGGTACAAAGTGGTATTACATGCAAAAGTCAACACGTCTCTGTCGCTGAACTGCAGAGCTCCTTCATTGACAGATTGCTGCATCCTAGATGCATGAAGGAGCGTTTCCACACGTTCTTTCTCCCTGCAGCTGTCAGACTGTACAATCAAAACTGCTCCCACCAAACACAGATGTTTACATCAGCGCTGTAATTTTATCAACCAATTCACACTACAACCTGGGTTTGCCTCTTACCTCTATTTAATTTTATTTAATTTTAATAACGGTACAATACTCTGTTTTTGGTAACTATAGTCCTTGATGTAAATATATAAAAAATTGTGTATGTTTCTATTCTGTGTCCTGTTTGTTTGTATATGTGTCTTTCTTGCTGCTGTTACAACCAAATTTCCCCTTGTGGGACAATTAAAGGATTATTCTATTTCTATTCTTGGTGCTACCTCAGTTTTGCATTCTGTTAATAATATTAGTTAAGTTAGGAGTATTTCTAAATAGTTTTAGACAAAAGGCTTTATGTGTCCTTGACCCAACACAGCTGATTTAAATGGCTACATTACCTCCTCAACATGTCTTGAAGTTCTCCCGAGGCCTGGTAATGAACTAATCATTTGATTCAGGTGGGTTGACCCAGGGGGGATATCTAAAAAAAAAAGACACCGGCCCTTGAGGCCTGGAGTTCCCCACCCCTGTTTTAGATGAAGGTGTGTTTGAGAACCACAGTTTTTTTTATTATTATTATTGCTTTAGGAACAATCAGAGCAGACCTGCATAAACATAAATCACCAGAATATATTTACTTAAAGGTGATGATGTAAATGTGCTGATGTTTGCTGCTCCCTCAGGCTCCAGCCCTCAGTTCAGCAAGGGCACCTACGTCCCTGTCTTCCCCACAAAGCAGCGTCAGACCACTTGGGAAGGCCGCATCACAAACACCTCTGACAACGTGGTCACCATGGCCATCACCCCAGCAGCAAACTGCATTGTGGGGAAGTACCAGATGTACGTTGCCGTGGTGACACCTTATGGCATCCGCAGGACCAGGAAGGAAAGCACCAGGGACATGTACATCCTCTTCAATCCCTGGGTGGCAGGTGTGCTGTGTTGTTTTCTTTTTTTATGTGTATGTCTTTGAAAGTCTGAACTGTAACATCCCAGTTTGGCTTTCGTCCTACTCAAGCACCCCACATGTTGTCTTCCCTCAGAGGATGCTGTGTTCCTGGATGATGAGACGGAGAGGCAGGAGTGTGTGATGACCGAGATGGGGATCATCTATCACGGCTCCTATGATGACATTGCTGAGAGGGACTGGAACTATGGACAGGTAGGAGAAAACAAGACTGAGGCACTTCAGGGCTTATCAGTTAAGTCTTATGACTGACCTGAGGGTTTTTATGCCTAGTTCAACTATGGAATCCTGGATTCCTGTTTGTACATCATGGACCGGGCTGAAATGCCCATCACCAACAGAGGAGACCCCATCAAGATCGTCAGAGTAGCCTCTGCCATGGTGAGAGCAATGCTAATATGAGTGCTGCTTTCCCGTACCCTGTGTTTAATCAGAGCAGTGGATATCTAAAGCCTTGTCTTTTTCCTTGCAGCTGAACTCTCGGGATGATGAAGGCGTTTTGGTGGGGAACTGGAGTGGTGACTACACCTACGGAGTAGCACCCACTTCCTGGACCGGCAGCACGGACATCCTGCTCACCTACAACAGCAGCAAGATGCCTGTCTGCTACGCTCAGTGCTGGGTGTACGCTGCTGTTTTCAACACCTGTGAGAGCTTTACTGGATCTAAGTAAATCAAAAATGACTCTCCATTTCAAACTATTTATGTATTTATTTATAAGAACTATATATATATATATATATAAAAACACCCAGCACGCTCCTGCGGGTGGTTTATCCTTCAAGCTTGGGTCCTCTACCAGAGGCCTGGGAGCTTGAGGGTCCTGCGCAGTATCTTAGCTGTTCCCAGGACTGCGCTCTTCTGGACAGAGATCTCCGATGTTATTCCCGGGATCTGCTGGAGCCACTCGCCTAGCTTGGGAGTCACCGCACCTAGTGCTCCGATTACCACGGGGACCACCGTTACCTTCACTCTCCACATCCTCTCGAGCTCTTCTCTGAGCCCTTGGTATTTCTCCAGCTTCTCGTATTTCTCCAGCTTCTTCCTGATATTGCTGTCATTCGGAACCGCTACACCGATCACTACGGCCGTCTTCTTCTGTTTGTCCACCACCACTATGTCCGGTTGGTTAGCCACCACCATTTTGTCCGTCTGTATCTGGAAGTCCCACAGGATCTTAGCTCGGTCATTCTCCACCACCCTTGGGGGCATCTCCCATTTTGACCTCGGGACTTCCAGGTTATACTCGGCACAGATGTTCCTGTACACTATGCCGGCCACTTGGTTATGGCGTTCCATGTATGCCTCGCCTGCTAGCATCTTGCACCCTTGCATCTATACATAAATAATACATAAATATCTATACATAAATAATAAAATATAAACTAAGATAACTGCCAAAATCCTCAGTTTGGGGTTTAAACATGATGTCTGCTCATCATTGGTTGATGTCACAGTGGGTGCCTTTTACATACAGTCTCCTTTGACTCTGCACCAGCTCACTCAGTTTAGAACCACATTTCTTAAGCTCTTGACTCCCGCCCTTGTTTTTGATTTGACTGTAAGTTCTGCCTCTGCATTTCAGTCTTACGTTGTCTGGGCATCCCATCTCGGGTCGTCACCAACTACTACTCAGCTCACGACAACGATGGAAACTTGAAGACTGACATAATCATGGATGAAAATGGCAAGATTGATCGAAACAGAACCAGGGACTCCATCTGGTACTGAAACTTTCCATTTAACAGATATCCTGAGATTTCTTTACTTGCCTTGGTCTACATGTTTTGCGCTCCTGTTGGTAGGTGTCTGTTAACACACTTCAAACGGTAGTACTCAGAATCAGATTTTTTTGTTCTCCAGAGAATTGCAACAAAATTTACTGAGAAATAAATTTACAGTATTCTTGCAGGAGCACCAGATAATCAAGATTAAGTAATTGATTCTGAAAATATACCTAAATGAAATTATTTTATACAAACTAAACTGGATTATATATTTACCACTGTTTCTTTTTTTGTCAGGAACTATCACTGCTGGAACGAGTGCTACATGTCCAGACCTGACCTCCCTCCTAGCTTTGGGGGCTGGCAGGTTGTGGATGCAACACCACAGGAGACCAGTGATGGTGAGCAAAAATTTAGCAATGATTCCCAAATTAATAAGGTTAGGGAATTCTATAATCTCCTCCCTTGGTTTTCCCAATGCTGTAGGGTTATGTCAAAGCAATGTAAAAGGAGAGGCAAATGTTTTCTGTGCTTTGAGTCACACTGATTTTTTGATTTTTCCTTTGTAATCCATAAAGGCATGTACAGATGTGGACCTGCGTCAGTCCAGGCCATTAAGCACGGACAGATTTGCTTCCCATTTGACGCTGCGTTCGTGTTTGCCGAGGTGAATGCCTTTGAATTACTCTCTTTCTAGAATTACTGAGAATGTGTTTGTATCTAATGACATCGCTCGCTGGTTGTTGTGTTTTATGACCAATAACCAGGCAGTTTGATGACAGAAGGCACACAGTATTTGTTTTTACAATGCCTATTTCTTTCCTTCTACAGATTAACAGTGATGTGGTGTTTCATTCCCGGAGGAAAGATGGGACCATGGAGCCAGTCAGAGTGAACCGAACTCACGTAGGCCGCCTGGTTCTGACCAAATCTCCGGGAGATGTGACCCGCCGCGACATTACAGATCAATACAAATTTGCTGAAGGTCAGGGACTACATCGAACACAAATGTCAGTGTTTCAGGAAGCAGCAGATCTGTTTTCTGTGCTGGAGCCTGAGCTCAGAATGCCACAGTAAATGAAGGAGCAGCTTTAAAATGTGCAAAATAAAAGCAGTCACCTTGACATCATGAAATAATGAAAAAAAGAAAAGAAAATGGAAACACTTGAGCAGAAACACACTGTTAGGCTTCATTTTTACAGTGATGGATTACCCTGCTCCGCCAGTCTCTAAGTCAGTGTTTAAATCCTTGGAGCTGAAAGGCCAGGTGGCAAGTTCAAACGGGAGAACAGCTCATTGTTGGCACTCTTGAATGCTGTCGGGCATCATGAACTCCAATACGGTTGCCAGATTAGGCAGTGTTTTTAGGAAAACACTGTGAATTTGAGTTATTTTCATTTGGAAATCAGCTCCATTTGGCATCATGCTGTATTGTTTTTATCCACAGTTGGTACTCTGGACCAAAAGACTCCTGGTGCTTCATTTATCACAAACTGGGCAAAGATTAGACGATTCTGAGACAAGACCATTTTAAAAATGCAAAGCAAATAAAAAAGGACATCAGAATTTATTCTGTTAATATACAAACACACTAATGTTTTTCAAACGCCCAACACAGGCAGCACAGAGGAGCGGACAGTCCTGGAAAAAGCAGAGGAGTACGGCTGCAAACGAGAGAAGTCCAGCCCTCCCGCGGCTGATGTGGACGTGGTCCTGCCCAACCTGGAGATCAGCGTGGGTGACAACTTTGAGCTGAACGTGGAGTTCGAAAACAAGAGCGATGAGCGCCGCACTGTGGACGCCTACATCAGCGGGAGTGTGGTGTATTATACTGGAGTTGCCAGCACCGAGTTCCTGTTCCTGACCCCCAGGGTGGTGATTGAACCCAAAATGAGTGAGTCAGGTGTACGGCATGGAAATGAAGAGGCATAGTCATGAAACCACAGATGATTACCAAATGTAGACAACTGTTTCAGTGTAATCCTGAGTTATGGACAAATGTCTGCCTCGATGAGTATTTAATCTTTTATCTTATCTCTAACTTTGATTTAAGGAAATATACACACATCAAAGTAGAAATATTTTTCTATTTAACAGATAAGAAGGAGGTGGCGATTGTGGAGTCGAAGAAATACATGAAGCGTCTGGTGGAACAAGCTAACCTCCACTTCATTGTTACGGGGAAGATCAGAGAGACCGGTCAAATCATCACCGCAATGAAAGTCGTCACCCTGCGCAACCCCAAACTCATCGTCGAGGTCTGAAATGATTCCTTGTGGTGGCCCCCGAGAGATCAAACGCATTGCGTCTTAAGGAAACGCTAGCAAATGGAAAAATGCTGGAAAAGCACACAAACACAATGGAAATTGAATAAAAAAACAACAGAAGTAAAACAAAGAAATACCACAAAATCCAAAAATAAATAAATAAATAAATAAATAAATAAAATCATAAAACAAAATGAAGTGTTTCACAATTATGTGATGGAACAGCTGTGAAAGTGACAAGCTAACAGTAAACGGCTAATAGCAAACATATGACTCGTGTGGTTAAAACACACGATACCTGTATCCTTTCTTTCCTCTCGACAATGATGATCCCTCTGCTTCTTTTAAGTGAGCCTCAGTGTAACACTGCACGTTTCTTCACTGCTGCAGTTCGTCCGTCATTTTATCTTGTCCCCAGAAACACTTTGTTTCACAATTTATTTATTTTTTGTTCTTAGAGTTTTTTTTCTATTTCTGATGTGTTTTGCGAGCTTTTGCAGCATTTTTCTCTTTGCTGGTGTTTCTTCAGTTGCAGTGTGCATCCTACATCACATTAAAGACAAACCTGGTTGCACTCGGGCAGTTTACTTTGCTTTTATTACATGTTTGATGTCCTATCCAGCAACTGTTTATCATATACAAAGTTGGATTTTAGGGGTGGGTTTTTTACATTTCCTGTGTGTACTTCAGGTGTCTGGTAGAGGCAAAGTGAGTGAAGAGATGATAGCAACTGTGGAGTTCACAAACCCCTTCAGCTTCAACCTGGAGAACGTCTACATTCGCATGGAAGGACCTGGGATGATGGAGCCAAAGTCCAGGTATTACAGGTGAGTGATCATGAACAACTGTTTGTATAAAATATTTCCACATAAAACCAAAAACTGGATTCAGTTTCATCTTATTCCTTTGGATGAGATTTTATAACCTCCAAATAGTAGCAAAAGGAAAAAAAAAAACACCTATTTCAAAGGTTTCTGCGTCTTGCTTTAATATTTTTGACGTGTTTGTCTTTTCTCAGGTTGGTCATAGGAGGCTCTTCTCTGACCTGGACTGAGTATTTCACTCCGCACAGGGCCGGGACAAGCAGGGTGATCGCCACTCTGGACTGTCCTGCTCTCCGGCAGGTCCAAGGCCAGGCATCTGTCACCATCAGCCCCTGAAAATTGCTACGTTCACAAACGCCCAGCATTATTTAGCCTCAGTTATTCTTTTACCACATATAGGCCTATATCATTGTTATGCAACTACAGTTTTTCAGCTACATAGCTTCAGCATTGCTGATATTGTTTTCAAATGCGGCACAGATAGCAGTCAAATTAATAGCTAGCTGCTAAATGGCTTATATTTTATATAATATAATCCGGTTGTTAAGTGATGACGTGACAAATCCTACTTCCGGGCCTAAAGTAGTCTGCGTTTAATATGGCTTTTGTGTTGTTAACATGTTTAATGTTATGTATTTTCTTCTATTTGATCTCAAAAAGCTCCTAAAACAGTCAGTGATCACTGTTGACCTCCCTCGGCTTTTATTACCGCTAATCATTTATTTAAGCTCAGTTTTTAAAACCTTAGGATGTAACAGCCCAGCCCATGCAGCAGTATATGAATGACTAACCTCGTATTGTGGATGGATTATCTCAGTTGTTGTCCTGGCTGAAGTTTTGTCCTTTTACAGCATCCTGCCATGCGATTACATTTGTTCCTGACCACCGAGAACACTCACGTTAACTTTTATCGAGTGGAAAAAAGTTAGCTTGTTTATATTATGCTAACATAGCTGTGTCGCTAGCGGTCATGAGGCACATCATTATATACCAGCTAGCCCAACTTCAGTAACCCTACAAACGTCACTGCTGTTTAGTTTTCTGTCTTCATTTATGTTGGAAGTGATAACAGAGCTGTACGTTTTAATTTGTTTCCAAAACCCCGCAGTCAGGACATGCTATATTGTATTTAGATAGAAGCTAGCGAGCTAACTTCCTGCTAACTTCTAACTCCGTTAAATGTCATAAATTCCGTTTTCATGGATGCCTGGATGTTAAACTCAATTGTTACACCTGGTAGAGCAGAACGCTGATCATTTTATTAAAGATGAAAGACTTTAGACAGTTTTTCAACTCTCAGTAATGCCATAGTGATCGTTTGATATATGGACCTGCAGCGGAGTTTAGGCCCAGACACGGCTAGTGACGTCAGACTTAACGACTGGATATATATAACAGATTCAGTTTTGTAGTAAATGAACTCCAAAGGAAACATATAGAGCCCTTTTCTTGTAAAACACATTTAGCTGTGGACAAAAATGCCACAGACAAGAAAGATTATCATCCCACTGGAGCTTTTCTCTCTTCACTCATGTTTTTAACTCTCATTTTAACACAGTTAACTTTTTAAACTCTTCTACCAGATGGTTTACTATGTTTAACAGTTACTTGATTATGAATTAAAATATTTTTTAGATGTTGTTTGCATAATGTCACCACAATTCAAATGAAATGTCACAGTTTACAAATGGACCAGGCAATCATACAGTAAATCGTTATTAGAGTATTGTGACATGTTCTTGGACTAATTAGATGTGATTTAAAGTGCTTTACACTTTACAAAGTGAAGATGTAAGATGCAAATGTCAACCAAATCAAAGATTAAAAACTGCATGATTGTGTAACATGTTTCCAGTGTTTATGTACACATATAACTTTTCCAATTCAGTGACAGGTCAATAATTAAGCTTAAAATCAGACATAATTCTATAATTCAAACTCGACCTTTCATTGAATATAACTGTAGTGTGAAATGTGCATATATAAGTTTTACTATTTTTTCTTTTTGGATTTTTCAGACACCTTCGTTTGTAAACAGTGGAAAACACTTTTCCTTTACTCTCACTTGAATGTGATGAGGTAGTCAGGGTACGCTTGGTTGTCATGAAACACAACATACATGCTGGGGTTATCTATTCTGTCTACCACACTGTCATAGCGGTCGTGAGGCTGCTGGTGGCTTCGAGGTGGAGGCACCGTCATATCATGTCGGCCATGAGTGCAGACGCCTGTGAGGACTCGGGCGACAAACATTAACTGAGAACCATCAGCAGCTGGCTTGGAGTAGGTGGGTTGGGCCGAGTAGTTGGCATCTACAGCAAAGTAGGTCCCGAGACCGAATACAGTTGCTGAGGGTAGGAAGAAAAAAAAAAGAAAATTAACAATAGCTGATCACATTTACACTGTAGTGTCTTGCAAAATAAATCACATGATACCCCTCAGCCTTCTAGCAGTAGATCTTTAGGTGTCACAAATACCCTGGAAGTACAAGCTGTAGAACACAGAATTACTAGTTCACTAAACCCTCCTTTGTTACATGTACTGCTACTTTAATATCTTCCACCAGGTGTTTTAACTACACTGTTGATTGTAATTGACATGTTTTATTAGTGCATGCAGGAACATGAAAATCTTTCCTTTCAGCTCAATAAGGAATCAAGCGCTGTTATTGTACTAGACCTGAAAACACCTCCACAATCACTTAAACCCAAGATTTTATGTATTACGAAAGCCACAAATGCTTAACAAGATTAAAAAAACAACAACAAAGCCTTGCTTTTCATGTCACCCTTGTAACACCAAAGTCACCAGAAGAGAAAATAATTTATTCAGCCTTAATATATGAATGCTCTCGTAATCACAGTGTATTTTTACCTGCATTGTCCTGACAGTATACAGGAACAAGCTGTGGTTATACTGGATTGCCTGTTACTTGTCAAAGGTCTATTTAAACACATTAACTCTTCTCATTTGTAATTAGTAACAAATACTGTAATACAAACTTAAATCGATGCACCATTAGAGTCTATTCTCTGAAGCGGGGATCATCTTTTAACCATTCTCGTATCAAGTTGTGCCCTGGCCTGAAAATCCATACAGTTATACTTACACTCATATAACAGGAAAATACTTATTACCATTATGAAAATTCACTGAATGCAAACTGTGAAAAAACTCTGAATGTCATCCTAAAAAAGACTGAAGCAGGGGTGCTGACCTTGAGGTCAAGGCTAATGAGATTTGAACTCAAACAAGATCTTTATTAGAGACACCTATGGTATCGATTTGAAAATCCTATGTTGCCTTGTTTTGTGTTATTTTGTTTGCAAAGTTGATCACTTATGCCAACCAATGCCCGCTCGATGGACTGAAAAAAATCCCCCAAAAAACCCAAAACTCAATACCTTAATAATTAAATCATCTTTAGCAGCAATAACTTTAAGTAATCATTTCCTGTGTGGCTTTATCAGTCTCACACATTGTTCTGGTGACATTTCAGCCCACTCTTCTTTAGCGCGTTGCTTCAGTTCATTAAGGTTTGCAGGCATTCATTTATGCATAGCTCTCTTAAGGTCCCACACATTTGAGCAAGGACACTGGGCCATTGCAGCATTTGCAGCTATTGTGTTGTAGATTTGCTGCTGTGCTTGAAATCATTGTGCTGTTACGTAATCCAGTATTGGATTTTTTTAGCTGTCAGACAGATAGTCTCACATTAGACTCTCTACAGAGGTGCTCATGTTGACTTGTGGTTGCAAAAAAAAGAAAAAAAAGAAGAAGCAACCCTTACAAACAACACACAGTCAACAGACAGTCTGTTTTTAGTTGTACAGTCATAAACTTTAACATTTAACATGCTAACGACACCTGCAGAGTCTGAGATGTAGCTCTTGGGTGTTTTGCAATTTCTCTAAGGATTCCAAGGTCCTGACATTGGGGCAAGTTTGCTGGGACGTCCACTCCTAGGAAGATTGTGGTATTGTGTTGACACACACCTGAATGGTCTCGACCAGTAGTGCCAAAACTTCTGTTTTTATAAAGATGCTCACACACATGTAAGCATTAAGGGGACACTTTGGCTTTCATACACTGCTTCCTCCTTTTAGCTTAATTTTTCTTAAATGAATAATGAAACTTAATATACCACATTTTCCTATCATCTGAGGTTTTATTTACTTAATTTTTAGACTAGACTGCTAATGACAAGGTTACTTTTATTTTGCCCTGCAACAGAAAACCTGCAACTCTAAGAAGACTCTGGTGTTGACTTTGGTTAGAACATGTTATGCAAGTTATTGGCACTGACAGTTTGCACTTGTGGATTATAAAAAGATTATCACCATTTTGTCCAGCAAAGCGCCTGTTGAATCCAGTTTTCATTATGGAGTCGCAATTTTCCTGGGTCGTCCCGTGGTACAGAAGTTTCTCCCCTGCTCCTCCCTCCTGTGCATTCTTATCAGAAATGTGCTTCTTCTGTGCTTCATAGGCGCGACGCAGGTGAACGTTCTGCAAACGGTCAATCTGACAAGAGAGAAGATGGACAAAGGATCAACAAGCTGCCAAACAAGGTAATCCAGGATATTAATTACATCTGAGGGGTAGTTTTATGCTTATATTCTGAGGGCCATAAATTGAGGTGTGCATCTCAGGTATGAGAAGATTCTGTGTTGTAAACATCGATCAATTAATTACCTTAAATCTGCAAATCTGAAAAACTGAAAACATGATGATTTGCAGGCAGGTTTTACAACTGCATTGAAACTTTCTTTGTATTGTGAATGAGAAAATTATGTCATCATCAATTCAGTGGACTTCAGATATATGAAACTAAAACTAAAATCCAGAATGAATGAATACAATTAAAAAAATAAATAAATACAATTTAATTAAATAAATCATATCTTTCAAATGGTGAATTTAGTTTGTTTATATAATGTGACATTGACTGATTTCTTGTAACTTGGAATTACATTGTGATTTTTTTACTCTTCCATTTTATCTATAAATTTATTAGTTAAATATCCTTTATTTACTGATAAATGAAGTTTTTGCATCTATGTTGGGAGTGAAGCACTGGAACAGACTGAGTGAGGAACTGAAATAATGTCCCAGCATGACCACTACAAAGATAAGGTTTGCACTCGCTTTTTACACAAACACTGTGTTTATATATGTGTATGTGTGTGCACATGTATATTTGCATCAGTACGTGTGTATATGCATGTATATATCTCTGGGCATGTTACTGGGGTTACAAAACCAAATACACGGAACAAACTTCGAGGTAGAACTTATGATAGGATATGTCATAAAAAGGAAGCAATAATAAATAAATAAATGAATAAATAAATAAATAATGGGAATTACTGTAAATAATATACCTACATATACATAAATATTAAAGCAAATAAAACAGAAATTTTTTTTACACTTTACACTTCATTAATAACATTTAATATCATTGGTTGTACTGACTACAAAAGAATAAAGTAGTGATGAAGCAGCATGCATATAATAAAACAGGTAATACAATTAGAAACTGAAACGTTCCTTTACGCAGGGAGAGCCACCCACCTTCATCACAGTTTTGGCGACGGTTCGTTTGAAGGCCTCCTTCACTGTTCGGTACTCTGCAGAAGAAGACTCCAGGGGAATGACCGTCATATTTTCACTGGCAGCCATGCTGTCCCAGTACAGAGGGAAAGTAAAGTCTGAAAGAGACAAGCATATATAGCTTATACAGCATACAAACGAGAAGACACAGAAGGAGCCTATGCTAAGCTTTATTATTTGCCATTTACTACAAAATCTTGTAGTAAATTCTCATTCCCTCATACAATGCATCAACCATAGATGTAGTGTCTTGATGGAGGGTTGTGGGTAGCGTAGGTCACAGTGGGTAGAGCCATCTTCCTAGACCCCTGTTTCACAAACCCACACACATCTGCCGGCTACTGGGCAATTCTTGGGCACCTTGAGCCCGGGAATTTGAGCTTGGCTCACACTAGGGTGGCCAAAGTCTAGGAGGGTCGGTTGCCTGTTGCCTCTAGCCCTCTGGGACTCCCACCCCTTGGCTGTGAGCTGCCCATTTAAGGGCCTCCTTTCTTCTCCTGCTGGTATGGAGGCACAGATATCACTGAGATGTCTGGCCTCAGGTCTTTCGTATTCTTGGGGGCTTTATATGGTTCTCCTGGATCCATCTCTATCATGCTCTGGCTCCTGAGAGGTGTTATTGCAGCTTCCCACACTCATTTTCATGTATATTTCGTGACAAAGACGCATACACAGTCTCTTCTCTCTCACTCTCTCTCTCTCTGTCTGTCACACACACATGCACACACAGATATTTATGTAGCTGTGCATTTTTAAAGTTTTGTGTTCGAGGTGTTGTATGATTGTTTTTTCTTACAGGTGCGGCAGGTTGTGATACATTATGCATTTCTATTTGTACTCCATCCTTTCATTACATCTTATACACTTTAACATTTGTTTCTTTTGAGTTTGTATTACTCTCAAGCATCAAACTCCAGTATCAGTCGGGCTCATTTTGTAAATCATTGAGAACTATCTTCTCACCTGTGAGATTCTCAAGTCGCTTCAGCTTCGTTGTCTGTCTCAGTTGCTGTGTGGCCACCATTCTCTGTAGATTAACCTCCCATACAAGTCCCTGTGCGTCTTTTATTCCTTTTGTTAATTCGTTGTTTTCCAGTTGGTGATTGGCTGTTCTGGGAAGTCTTTCCCAGTTACCGTTATGTGCCAGGATGCACCAAACAACTCGGAGGTACAATTCCTCCTCCTCCCTGACTCTTACCTCTCTAGCAAGACCCATTAACTGACACTGATTCATTTTCTGCATCACTCGGGTGACCCCGTCTTTTAGCCCGCTCACTGTTAGGGCGCCAGACTGATCTGTTTGCATGAATAAACCCTCAGACTCCACCAGCTCCTTCAGCTCCATCATGTCATCCTGGTCGAGAGGTTCCAGTTCCTCCTTTGAGAAGGTGTTACTGGAGCACTGTGTGTGATATTGATGCTTCAGCTTTTCCATGGCATCATCAACGTCCTTTTTGGAAAGACCCAGGAACGTGAAGACAGACTGCTGACTTGTAGAGCTGATATGGAGACTGCTGAGGTAGGCACTCACAGAATTAGGAGGCTGTTGTTGCTGTACTTGAACTGGAAGTACTGGAAGTCCTGGAAGTACTAGAACAAATCAGTAAAAGTTTTCAGTAAAATAATTTTGAATCAGTTTTTATTTTAAAATTCACTACACTAAATAACTACACAAAATGTCAGTTTGTGAATATTTCTGTCACCTCTGTTGATGATGGCTGAGGAATACATCTGCATCGCTTCCTCTTTAAAAGTCAAGAAGACATCAATGTTAATCAGGACGAGGCGGATGTCAGTGAGGCTGGTCATGAATGATGCAGATGACTTGATTCCTCGAAAAATGGCTCCTGCCACAATCGCAGGATCCAAACCTCCAGCTCCTGCAAAAACACCCCTTCCTCTTAGGTGTGTGTGTGTGTTTCACAACAAACAGAATAAATAGAAATGCTGAACAAAATACTTACCAGCACACATGGCAGGAATTGCCACTGAATTATATTTATGTGATTCACAGTAACAAATGATATCACACACAAGTTGTTCAATGAGGATTTCATGCTGTTCTCCATGCACATGTAAAATAGCTTTACTGGGGAAGTTTCCAGACTGGGTCACGAAAATTTCTCCTCGATTCACTGTTGCTGCCACCTGTGGTTCAGCTAAAGTTGAGATGTCTTTGCATAAGCCATATATAGAAAAAGAAAAAATATATTTTAAAGGATGTCAGTGAAGGCAAGTTTGTGCTACATGCTAATCTTGTGCTAGTTTTAGCATGCTAAAACAGCTAATCAGCACCAGGACTGATGATTCTGATGATGGAGGTTACCAACCTTTACATAACTATTGCCATCTATTTTGGTAAATGGTAAAAAATGGTAAATGGCCTGTATTTGTATAGCGCTTAGTCCCTATGGACCTCAAAGCGCTTTACACTACATTCAGTCATCCACCCATTCACACACTGGTGATGGCAAGCTACATTGTAGCCACAGCTACCCTGGCGCGCACTGATTTTGTTAGTAACATGCCAAATTTTGCTACTGTAATGTTTAGGGTCAGTTGCACAGTTGAGTAACAAATACATTTTGATTTGTTAGAATGTAATAAAAATCACAAATACCAATCTTATGGTAACATTAAAAGAAAAACTGGGGTTTCAAAAAGAGTAAGATAATCTTAGTAAAATGAATGTCTAATGCCTATTGGTTAAATATATTTAATAAATGCATTTAATTAGTAAGTACAGCTTTGGAAATAGCAACAATAATAATAATGCCACAAAGTTCTTAAGTTCTTAAGTTCCAATTTGTGTCACAGTTGGATACGTTTCCTGAATAGTTACTCATCAACCCTGTGTTGATAGGAGTTATGTGGGTAGTTCAGCTTCACCACTAGGGGGCTGTCTAACCAAAATGTGATATATACTGTGTCGTAGAAGCAGCGGCAGGTTATCTTTACGTGCATGGATGTGAGCCACGTTAAAAATAAAGAAGCTTGCTCACGACTACTGATGTTTTATTGAAAACACGACAAACCCTATATTCCCAAATCAATCCACATGCATTTATGGGAAATGGTACTCAAAGGTAAGTCAAAGGCTAATCCCTGCCAAACCTGCTTGGCTGAAGATCAAACATTTCTCATGCTGAGTTGACACCACAGGCAGTGTACCAGTTCACCTGTTCATCTCTGTTCCCTGCCAGACTGTCACTGAGTCACTTGTCTGTGTTATAGTTTGATTGCTTTCCATCACCATCATGAGAGTTTTACATTTTGCCATCCACTAAGCCTGTTCCTGCTGAATGTGCCTAATTTGCACTAGATTTCATTATGTGAAACTATAACCATGATAGGTATGAGATCCAAAATATAAGAAATTATCTAGTTTTACAGCTCCATATACATTAGAAATTAGTGGCTTTCTAATACTTATGATGTTCAACCATGACTATCTGTTAAGCTCTTCGTAATTATATGGTGAGGTTTTTAGCTAATGTAAGTGAACTGCTGATAATACTAGATGAAAACTTTGATCCTCAAAGATTATATTCATATGGGCATCCCCATTTTTGAGCAGATATTCATGAACAGCTGTTTGACTTTGCCATAGTGAGCTATGCTACCATTATGGCTAAAACGAACTTTACAGTTACAACATGATCCTCCTGCTCACCAAGGTTACTTACCAAAGTTAAAACTTTGGAAGTCTGTTATGTTCACCACAGCATCTGTAGTCTCATTAGTGATGTCACCAAACACCACATGTAGTTTAACTCCACTTCCCACTGTCATGATGATGTCATCTAGGTCGCTGGTGAGGGACCTGAAGATTGCTGAGACGAAGAACACCACACATTGATTTTGTCTGATATTTAGTCTGATGGCTGAGGGTGATAATGAAGATGGTAAAATATAACACTGGCTGAATGCTTTTTATCTGCTCACTATGCATTAATGTCACATACTGAAGACAGTATGAGTAGTGCAAGTTTACCTTTGCCTCCCTGGTTCATATTTAAGCCGAGCTGTTTGTAGAAATCGTGGTAGCACTGTAGATAAAAACACAGAATAACATGATGAAAGATGGATGCCTTCATGTTACATATCAGATCAGGACATATCAATTGACACTGACCGCCTCAGAATCAGGGTAGCCAGGTTTAATCACAATGTGGATGTTTGTAAGAGATCCAGAAGATGCGGATAATCCAAACTGGTGAATGATGTCGGTCAACACTTGAATGGCTTCTCTCAGCGGGTATTTTAAAACAATTCCTGGCCCAATGATTGGAATGGCCACTGAACCCAAATTCAGCTGTACACAAAGCCCCAGACACTTCTTCAGACCGTTACCAAGAGCCTGCAAATCAAAAGTTACATATTTTCAAACTATGTTTTCAAACTCTTGGATTGCACACTGCAACTAACAGAGCACACACGGAAAACTGTGAGGCTTTGGAGGATAAATCCTCCCTTGCAGTTATAGGTAAAGTTAATTGACTAGTTTGTGTGTTAATGCTTTTACTTTTCAGTTAAATATTTCATTATCTTTTCTTTTGTCTGTTCCTCTAGTTTTGAGCATACATGCTTAGATATCATCTGATTATTCCAATTAATACTTTCATCTATGTACAGCTATAAAGTGGATTTCAATGGATTTCTGAAGGTAAATTAAATATGAATTAGCACTTTTCCATCACCAGAAGTGTTAATGAAAGTCCTTAATTTTACCTGAACACTCTGTCCTCTTACTCCGTCCCAAGGCAAGCACTCAATGAAGAAAATCTTGGAGCAGCCCAGAGATGGAGGTGCATCAACCAGCTGAACATCACCAGGGGCGAGGGCACAACTGGCTAAGACTGAATCAAACTTTAACTTTAA